AAAAAAGGAGAGAGAATTAAGGAGAGGGTAGAGATATTTAATTCAGTTTTGGACCTCTTGGGACGAGATACCAGTTGTCCACCATAGCTACATAAATAACTTAATAATGAGCCATCTAGGTAAAACAGTTTAAAAACATACCTATAAGTTAAATCTCTTGGAAATACTTACAGAATTGTTAGACAAAAGACATTTTTAATGGATATCTGCCAAAATGACTCTATTCAAGTAGTTAGGCAATAGTCTTTTTTTGTCTATTGAGATCAATATTAGCCTTTAAAAAGAAAGTCAACTAATACATGTGAGAGTGGGTACTGGTTTACCTTCCATGTCCTCTTTCTCTGCAACCTGATGGTCAAATTTCTTGAGTCATTTACATTGCTTTACCTCTGTGGCAGACACTGCTGTGGATTTACCGGATCAAACAGCATTTTGCTTCTGTATATAGATATACACCTGCTCCTCTTTCCTATTTTCCCTTGCATGTAGATGGGGTCTTGTTACTGACTTTTGACCTACAGAATGTAGGCAAAAGTGGTATGTGCTCCTTCTAGACCTGGCATCCAAAAATATTTTTGACATGATGCTCTGGTTTTCTCTCTTTTTAAAAATAAGATGGGGGATCTCTGGGTGGTGCAGCAGTTTGGCGCCTGCCTTTGGCCCAGGGCGCGATCCTGGAGACCCAGGATCGAATCCCATGTCGGGCTCCCGGTGCATGGAGCCTGCTTCTCCCTCTGCCTATGTCTCTGCCTCTCTCTCTGTGACTATCATAAATAAATAAATAAATAAATAAATAAATAAATAAATAAATAAATAAAATAAATAAATACCTTTAAAAAAAAAATAAGATGGAAGCCTGGCAAGTACCATCAATATGCTGATACATTCCCATTCTGTTACCAGTCCAGATGTTTCTTCTGTTCTTTAGGCTTCTATATCCAATTGCTTCCTGGGTATTTTTACTTAGAAGGGAACCAAAGATGGATTTTGCTTACATTTTTATTGTTGCCAAGTTCTGGCCCGGACTACAGGAATTTATTTTCTAACTCATTTAACTTTATGAAATGGGTTGACTTGAATTTCATTAGCATATTGCTGGCTTAATTAAATAGTGTTTTGGAGAAAACTGAGTCTTGGTTTTATATAATATAAAGTCTTGGTTTTATATAATAAGTATTAAAAGATAATACAAACCGAGTCTACTAAATAAATTACTTAGGAATTGTTTCCTTATCACTCATGGTTTGATAGTAAAACTAAGAGAACAAATTTAGTTTTAGGTATGAATCAGAAGCTACAAAAGAAAAATTCTAGGAAAAAACCCACTCTTCTCATCAAAACTCATTCAAGTATGCAATTTTTTGGAACTTCTTACACATGCCTATTAATTAATATTATAATTGACAGAACTTGTGGGTTATGCCAACACCTAATGGCAAAAACTTTGAGTATTAGATATAAAGATCTCAATTTGGGATACTGTTTCCTCGTTAGTTTTGCATTCGCGTTAAGGAAAAGCCGCCACATTAGTGTACTTGAATTAGTTTCTTATTATTGATAGAAAAACAAAAATTTTATGAATTCTTCAAGTTGTACTTTCTTAAAAGTAGGTGTTGAATTGGAAAGAGACCTGAATTGGGCATGAGCAGTCATGAAAAAAAAATTTTAATCCCAATTCTTTAGCTAGCTAAATGACTGTCATTGGATGAATCACTTAACTTGTTGAAATCCCTTTCTGGGTGAAAAAGAAAATGCTATAGCAGTTGATTCCTAAGGCATGTAACTATATGGGTATTTATTAGTTTGTTTATTTTGGAAGCCAAATTCAAATATTATTAGAAGACAAAGATAATTACTAAGATTAAGGTCATATTAAGGAAGAATAGATTTCCTTTTTGTTGAAGGGCTAAAGTAAAGTAGTCTGAGCTAAAATAGTCTGACTGAGAAACAATGAAAATTAAGCAGTATAATGCTGTTTTTCAAGGCCTTTGCCCAAATATCTAGCATAAACTATGACAGAAGACTGATATTATTATAGGAACATCAGATTCCTTTCTAAGGAAGCAGTGATATAATTGCATGTGGCTGTTGTAATGAAAAATTGCTGGAGAGTGGATTAGAAAGTTTAGTTTCCAATGGCCAGATCTGGTACAAGTTCCAACATTTGAGGTCAGTATGTATGCACAAAATGTTCATGTTTATAACTGTTTAATTTTTTTAACAAAATAGAGGAATTTGAAGAGGAAATAATTTAAATTAGGGATAAATTTAAGGTAGAGTTTTGTTCCTGGCTTTTGCATCAATTTGAGGTAAAACTTTGTATAAGATTGTAAGATTCTATTTAATAAAAGTGTATTTCATGTATTTTTTTATTTCATGTATTTTTAATAAAAGTAATAATACAAACAATATAAAATAATATAAAATGCATTGTTTAAAAATATTTTTATGAAAAGAACTATATAAAAACCTTATTACATAAAATAGAAATAAAACAGAAAAAAACCTAGCTGTTCCTCTATGTGCCTTAAACTAGAAAACTAATAGATTTTACAGGTTATTGCATAAAATGTAAAATTCCTTAAAAATACCCATCACTTTTTTCAGGTTGGTTGAATTAGAGAATAGCTATTGTTAGCTTAGCAAATCGCTTATTGTAGGGATTTTATCTTATGTATGCTTTTCTGAGAACAATAACAAGAAAGATGATTATAAGAGATCAATATCAAATGACAGCGAAACATATCTTTCCTTTATAAAAGAGTGAAGCAATAATTTATTATTCGTTATATTGTAAAGGTAAAAGGTGAGTAATAATGTAATGATTCTAGAAGGTAAAGGATTGAGACTTTAAACCTTCTATTGATTCTGTATTATGCATGCTCTGTTACACTGTGATAACTCCCTGAAGTACAGCTCTTTACTCTTTCTTTAGAGAGTGTTTCAGATCTCAAAGCGGAGAGAGCATTTACCTCCTTTGTGTATTCATTTCTACACCTTCATCTGTGCATAACTATGGCATATTGGGAGTGCATGTTAGGTGTATTTATTTATTTGATGACCAGCCTCGCCCCTCTACCTTGTATATATTTGGGGGGGGTCATTGTAAAGTGGACAGGATTTGTTGTCAGTTTTCTCCTTTGCATAGCCAGTGGGCTCTTTCCTGCTGCCTGGATGCTAGCTGTTGTTTAGGTGAGGACTATTCTATTTCCTCCTCAATAGTTCAACAGTGTCTAGTATCTCAATGTTTGTCACATAGATATGCAAATGATCATCTAATTCATCATAAGCATTATGTTCTGAATATATATATTTCCACATTAGAAAAAATATTCTGGGAGAAAGCAACACTTAACCTGAAGTTCTGATTCACTGATGACAGAATTTCAGGCATCAGGTGAGGCATATTTAGGAGAAAGTATGAGAAGGAGGCCAGGCTGGGGCATCTGGTCCACAGGAAGACCTGTGCCATTGTTGCCTTTACACAGGTTAACTTGGAAGACAAAGGAACTCTGGCTAAGCTGATGAGAGCCATTGGGACCAATTATAATGACAAATATGATAAGATCCACTTCCATTGGGGAAGCAACACCTGGATCTGAAGTCAGTGGCTCACATCACCAAGCTGAAGAAGGCAAAGGCTAAAGAACTGGCCACCAAACTGGGCTGAGGGGACACTGTTGAATTTTCTATACATAAAAATAATAAAAAGTTCTTTCAAAAAAACAAACAAAAAAAGGATGAGAGAAACATGTGTGACCTCAAATCACATAATGCAAAATTTTCACATTATCTTGCTTTATTTAGAGTAGTCCCTGATTTGAGAAATTGCCCCAAAATTCTACATAAGAAAATTTTAGGATAGAAAGTGTAGAAAATGCATGGGCAGATTTTGCATCATCTCAATTTTATGAGTGGCTTACTAAAGCTCATAGGATTAGATCCTTTAATACCAATGCCATCTTGAAAAGGCTGTGCCATAAATACCATTGCCTTACATCATTCAGGACTGGCGTATACTGCTGCAACAACTTGTTCTTTGGGCCTCAATTTTTGATTTACGTTAATCCCTGACTTCTGCTTCCATTCTCTCTCCAGTCCAGTTTTGACTTTACCAGTGATATCAATTGCCTAATACCTGATTAGGTCAATCTCCTGAAATTGCTTTAGCCTCCACAGCTCTCCTTTGGCATCAAGCCTGATAGACTGTTTGAGAAGCCCTCTTCTGCCCCCTTCTGTCACAAGTCTGCATGTTTACAACTGGGCCCTGGTAACTTCTAGTTTTACTGTGCGAGCAGACCACCAGGTGTATCCACTTAAGTTCCCTCAGCAAGGTAGCAGATTGAAAAACTAAGGAGAAGAAGTCCTCATTCAGAGCTTGATGAAAGTGTCCATTCAGTGAAGGCCCTAGTGCTAGTCATGTGTCTGATGTCTTCCCACACCGACATGGTAGAGGAAAATATTCTGCTCTTTATATTAGGCATTTGAAATGAAAATGAACATCAAAACAAACACTGGTGCCTAACAATTCCTTGTATATCTACCTTGCTATGAAATGCTTATTTTCATGGGAAGAAACATTACTCATATTACTTGAAGCAGAAAAACATACTCAAAAAAGAGACTGACTTTTTTTTCCTATTAACTGAAGTTCTTCACTAGCAATTGAAGCTAGTAGATACTGCCATTCATATGTGAGCACATGCACTCTCTCACTCTCTTTTAAAAGATAATATAGCTATAGGAAAGGTATCATCTGGACATAAAACTTTGGATTTAAGCAGCAGCAACTGTACAAAAGGAAGACTTTGAAGATGATGACAGTTAAATTATACTCATAAATTAAAATAACCTTGACAAAGACTTGGATTTGGCTGAATTTTAAGTGGAGGTTTATATCAAATACAAGGTAGGACATCTCCTGCTTCTTCTAAAGCTGCCCCATAGCGAGAAGATGACAATAAAAAAAAGGCATCCCATCCTATTTTAGTTAATCTTACCAGTAAAGACGATGGGCAATCTGGATGCTTTGCAATGAACGATGCAATAGGAGTTGGACCAGAGGACTTTCAAGGTTCCATTCAAACTTGACAGCCTGAAGTAAGAGATATAATTACTTTACTCTTCTCAGTAACAAAATTCTAGCAGAATACAAAGGGGCTTAAGTAGCTTATGAAAAGACAAAGGAAAACAGCATAAACATTTTAACAAAATGTTAATATTATATCTGATAACCTTATTAGCTGGTATATAATAACAAAGCACACACACATCATTAATTTGGATTTGTGTAGTCTCTTTATTATTTATACTTTAATATCATAGGATAATAAATAAGAGCAGATGGTTGGTGAGTTCAACCATGCCTAGGAGGAGAATCTTGGCACACACAAAAATACATAATATCAGGATTAGTGTCCTAGATATAAAAAAGGACATTATTAAACAGTAGATATTTCTCCTCTTTTGGAAATAAGATTAATGCACGTTCAAAGCCTTAACTGAAATCATCAATTGATATATCAGTATTAACTGGCAGAACTTGAAACTTTTCTTAGAGGTTTCAAAGCTGATTATTGCCACCCTAACCCACCACCCCTCTCCAAATCCTTTCCCTCATCTCCACTATGAACAGCTCTTTAAGATTTTCTAGGTACCCAACCTAATGGAAAATACAGACAGCAATGGCAGCCACTAATATCCTTATGGACATAATTCAGACCTCCCCCTGTACTCTGCAGGGGCTTCACTGTCAGCAAGCATACCTGGGCTCCATAATCATCCCAGAAATCTCAATATGTTTAAAAATGAAAACCAGGCTCTCTTCAAAAAAATTTCCATCCCTGTTTAAGAATCAAAGCTTCTATCTTTAGTTGCTCAATAGCCATTTAAGTCACACACACAGCCCCCCGCCCCTCCCAGAGTTTAAGCCAGGTTTTATACCACAGCAGATAGTAGACCAAAGTGGGCACAACACGCATTCACATACACACTGAAGAAATACTTCAATATGAGGACCATACTCAAGGATGGGAAAGTTTATGAATTCCTAAGGTACAAGAGTGCCAAATATAATTTCAGCAAATTTGCATAAACTCTTGATGTTGTGTGAATGTATAAAAACCATAATGTATGTTGTCTTAAACTGCAACCATGGCTTGTTTTCACTTACTTGCTAATACTGGGCTGACTAGGTCATAAGTTGTGTTTATGCCCTAATAGCATATCATATGAGCACATGAGCAAGAGAGATGTCTTAGAATTTACTTTGCACTTGTCTTTTTAGCTTTCCTTTTAGATTTACCTATTATTTCTTCTTGAATAACTACTTGTTGCTCTTAAATTGCTTCACTTGTTTCCAAATTCCCTGCATCACTCTGTGCTCTGGTACAATTTCCCCCTAAATCCTACTTCACCATCTGGGAGGCAGGCAATATTTCTGGCTCACATTGCATTATTAGGAACTGTTCTTGGAACCTACCCACAGGGTGTTGACCTGTGGTTGCTGTAACCTCTGGATCTGTATCTTAATTACCTTCTGGCTATGAACAATATGTTCTGTTTTTGTTATGGTCTTAGAGTCCTGTCTTATTTATTTAATATAGCTGGCATAATTCTAACAATATAATACATACCAAAATAACATATTTCAAGAAAATAGCAGTAAGATAGATTTTTTTGTGTGTTTCGAAAGTTTTTATGTGTTTAAAGCTTTAAAGTCAGGGGAGGCCATGGAAATTTAAGGGCAAATTCTATAATAAATGTTTTGAAAATTCTTCCCAGTTTTACTTATTTTTGAGTCATTTCTTTCCATCTCAAAACATTTATATTCTTCATTTTTAATTAGAGAGTAGTTGTAGCACTTCTTAATTTTACTTCTGTGGATTTGCTATGTTGGGTTCTGTATGCACCTTGTCATATGAATTTGGATTTGCAGGTATGTGGCTCTCAGTGATATTCCTGGTGCCAACTGTATTGCTTATTTATTCCAGACTGCTATTTCCAATTGGGTTTAATATATATAAAGTTTTGTAATAACTTAATTTTTTTATTTGGGTTAGTTAGAGCATGCTGCCAATACTCATGAACCATGAGATGAACAGTGTTTCTACAAGTTTGATTTATTTTTACTTCTACTACACTATTCTGGCAAGTATAGAAAAATCACAATGATAAAAATTGGTAAAAGTACCTATACGGTATAGCTATTTCTAAACCAGCTTTCGCTTTTGGAGTCCTTCAGAGAAACGCATATTCCATATGCAAAGCAATATGGTATTCCAGTCATTGATAGGGGTTCCCCCCAACTAGGCTGTCCTCAGGGCACCTGGATAGCTCAGTTGGCTAAGTGGTTAAGTAGCTGACTTTAGCTCAGATCATGATCTCAGGGTCCTAGGATCAAGCCCCGTGTTGGGTTCCCTGCTCAGCAGGGAGTCTGCTTGTCCCTCTAACTCTTCTCCCTCCACCCTACTTGTGCTCTCTCTCTCAAATAAATAGAATCTTAAAAAAAAAAGTTCTCAATGTTTAAAAACTGAGGCACTTGACATTTAAAATAGCTTTAATTACAACCTGATCTTTCAGATAAGAAAACACTGCAGTTAAAAAATAAAACGAAAAACGAAAAACATAAAGACCACTATACTAGAACTACCTATTCAGCCTTCATTACATAATCAATTTAGGAAAAAATATTATTTGTAGTTTGAATATTCAGTCATTTATGTGGTCATATGCAAGATGCATAATTGTCTATTTTTCAAATATTTATATTTCAAAATATTCAGACTAAATCAGTTTTTGCTCATATTTCTATATAAATTTATATGATTTTCTAAAATTACTTCAAAATTGTGATATTTAATGTTGTGACTAAAAAGCAGTATTTATTGGCAGAATTCAGGTATTACCTTATAAAAAACCACTTTATAGATTTATGATCAATGTTAGAATGTTCTAAGGGAAAGGCAAAAAATACATACGAGGAGCTGTCCTAGCAAAATACTATTTTCTCTATAACATTCATTTGATTAACTTTTAATTGTTCTACATAGTTAGATGAAAATATTTTATCACCAGTATCTCTATTTTTCTCCCTAATAAGTGAAGGTTTTATTTTCTTGGCTTTTTTTTTTTTTTTAACTATTTCAGCTTTATAGACCTTTTTTGTAACTACCAGTTTGGGCTAAAGAATGTCTATGTTACCCATGTTGACACATGAGCTACAGTTTACTGTTGACTTATTGGAAACTCTTTTTAGAGGATTATTAGTTAAAATCCTAGAATCCTTTGGCAACTCTGCTGTTCTTACCTGAACTAGTTGTGGGAGATATTCCAGTAGTTCATCATTCAAGAGGTTGTCTAATTGTCGAACTGCCACTTTACGTATTTCTTGATCTGGAAAACTAATACAAAGTAAATATATCTATTAAGCTATTAATGGAATGGAATAATCCATGAAAAACTTCAGGAGAGGATGAATTGTACCCACAGCATATAAGATAATATCATAATCTCACAATCAATTAAGATGATTATTAGCATCAAATTAATTATTTTCCCACATTCCGTACTCTCATGTAAACTGCAATAAAAAGCCTTTTCAACTAGATTTTGGAAACTTGAGTTTAAGTCAGAAACTGCCAGCTTCCTTGTCTATAAAGGATTGTATGATATCTAAAATATTTTCTAAAGTGCATGAAAATCTTTGCTTATTATTTAGCCATGCATTTGTTAAGTAAGTTATTACCAGCTGGAGACCTGATGATTTATATGATTAAAAATGGGAGATAATATATTTAAATGAGTTTTGGCAGCTCTAATGAAAAACCAGAAATCTAATAAAAATTATTTAATAAGACCAAACCTTACTAGGATATGAAGGGCTTGAGGGTAACTGTGCCTTATTCATTTTTGGACTGCATGTCTGTTGTAAGATTTAGCACCCATTAGACAATTAATAAATGTTTGTTACTGAACTAAATTTATGAAAGTATTTAGCATTTGAATATCTATCCCCAAAACAATTAATCCTCAGATGGGCTCCTCAGGCTGCCATCATCTTGTTTCATCAGAAGAATTAGATTCAATTATCCCCGAGCTTCTGGGAAGTGCCTAGAGATAACTTTTGGCACCATACTGTTTTGACATGCTTTTGACATACTGCTTTGACATGATTAGATATACCTGGGGCTTTGGTAAGAACAATTAATTTTAAATAAGCAAGTTTTCAGAAAAAAAATTGATATAAGGAACTACTTATAGTAACTGATTGAAAAACAAGGAAGTAAATAAACAAAAGTCAAAAATCCTTTTGCATGGAAACAAAATGAATATTTTCAACCAATCAGGTGACAGCTCTAAAAATTGGCCCCCAATATTATGGAGGTCAGGAAACTTTAAAGTCTTTAATGTCCAGTCTCTTCAGCATATCAGGTTACTGAAGGGTGAAATGAATACTAATGCAGTTACAATAATGCAGTTACAGTGTCGAGGAAAACTGGTATTACTTAGTATCTCTCAACTGTTCTTGATAGCAGTTTGATGTGCAATGCTTAAATATAATATTTTACATATTTTTTCTTAAAGTGAGCATTCTAATTGCAACAAAAATTTCACTTCCACGGTTAGTCACTCAAAACCCTATTTCTGACCTGCAAATACTTTTCCAATAATTTTCTCGCTTTGAATGATCTAGCAGCAAGACCTAGTGAGAACTGTAGTCCAGACACATGTCCTGAAGTCATGCTAAGGTCAGAAGATACCAGCATAGCGTCAAGTGCAGGTGGAGAGCAGACAGGGTGCAATAAAAATGCAAAGCTAGAAGGTCAGCTTGTCTCTGCACACTGAGACTACTTTCTCCTAACTAAATGTGATTGATTCTAATTTATTGCTCTCAATTACTAAACCATTTGTCTGGGGCCCGTAGACATCAAGGTCAATTTGAGGACAGTCTGAAGTCTTAGGAGGAATAGTTACTTGGAGCATTTTGCTGCTGAAGTGATGACTTAAGTCAGATACTAGTCATCCATGCTTTCTTTTGTGCTTATTTTATCTTACTGATATGAATGAAAACAGAAGAAGAAAAATAGAAACATCCCAATGAAACAAAACTCTTTGGTGAACACTATATCTCTAATTATGTATTTATTTCCAAATATTGGAACATAAACTCCATTAAAGCAGAACATTTTTGCCTGTTTTGTTCATGGATGTGTCCCAGATGCCAGCAGATTGGTGAATAGGCTCTACATATATGTTTGCAGAATGTCTCAAATGAAATATCTTCCCACTTAAAACATCCATATTGCTAGATTTTTCTCTTATGGTCTGTGTTATCTTTCCCCAATCATGTAGGTCTAAAATTTTGAGTCGTATTCCCCCCCCTCTTTTGCCCTCTTCATTGAATTCCCCCCACTCCCCTTTCCCATCTGGCAAAATTCAATTCATCTTTAAAGTCAAAAGTCAAGGACTGATTTCCCTGGGAAGCTATTCCAGTTACTTGGTAGCCCCCCCATAGAGTTTAATGACAGCCTTCTCAGTGGCCTTCTGCAGTACATACTCAGTTGAGAGTAGGCTCATTCATTCTGAATCCCTGATACAAGCACAGCTGAATATGTTCCTAGTAGTCTCTTATGTTTATACCTAATCAGTTGCCAAGTTTGGCTGGCTTTTTTATCCTAATGGTACTCTAGCATAATGCCTGTTTTTAGTTTCTTCTGCAACTAGCTAGTCTGGGCCACAATTATCTCATGCTGGTACCAACATTTTTCATAGTAATAATACTTTATAAATTTCCCTGAAGTATTGTAATACTGCATAAACTGCTTGGGCTCACTGGTTATTTTTACTCTGAAAATGTCTTGTGCATTGTTACCTTTGTCAACACTGTAACCCCCCACTTGGAACAGTTTCTCTTTTCTTCTTAAAGTTCCAGTTCTCCTTCAAAATGTGGCTCAAATCCTCTTAAAGGTGACTATCCTAATCTCTTCTCTGAACTCCAAGGGCATTGACTGGCTGATTCCATTGGGCAGTTAGGATATGCTAGTGTTTATTAGAATTTATCTTTTTTTATATATGTGCCATCATTCCTCAGCTAGTGAATAAATCAATGGAAGATAAGAATTCTTCTATTCCCCCCCCCTTTTTTTTTTGTAGTTCTTAGGATTTAGCACCATGCTCTGTACATATTGGGTCATTAATAAAAAAATGCATTGATCGTGATGATAAAAATGAGAAAAATCATATTATTGAGCCCATTTTATTTTTTGCTGTCCTCTGAGATAATTTACATTGGTAGCAATAGATTTAACTTAAAAATACCACTTACATAAGTCCTATGTTTTTAAAATTTGTTTCCTCTCAGTCAAAAGGGTGAGAGAAAAACAAATCTGAAGGTAATGAAAAAGAAATATGTATTTTTTTCAGACTCTTCCAGAAATAGGAGAATAAACACTAGTTACATCTGTACAGACCCAAATAAAAATCATATATTTGTATTAATATGTGAAAATGCTGGGAAGAATATTTTTACATGTTAATGGGAAGGAATGTATCTTTTTATTCACTACTCTAGCTTGAAGTTAGAAAGAAATTGGAAGAGAAATTGCTAAGAGACTAACCACATGACATCCTGGGATGTGACTAAGAGCTAACAACAGTAATGCATATCCAAATATAACTTTCATTTGATTATTTTAGGAAGAGTTGGCCACATTAAGAGAGATGTTGGCAGTGCTAGAGAAGCTACTGGGAAATGTGTCCCTTCATACATTATGGCAATATATAGCACCATGTATTTTTAAAAAATCTTTAAAACTTGATTATTCTTTGATCTTTTGGGAAGATCTAAGAAGATAATCAGAGATATGCGTGAGGATATATGTAATTAGAAATAACATAAATGTCCAAAATAAAAGTTAAACAAGCTATAACCATATAATAGAATACATGCAGTCTCAAATATTAAAATAATATTTAATTATGTGAAAATGTTATGAAAAATATATAAAGTATAATACCATTTAAAATTCTGCATAATTCTCCATAAGCTTGATAAATAGATGAGAAAAATAAAAATCATAATACCAAATAATCAAGTGGAAATTTCATGGATGATTTTAGTTTTCTCTTTTAAGCTTAATTTTTAAAGTTTTTCAAACTTTCTATTTGAAAGTTTCATTAGTTACTAAAATGTAATGATTTTTAAAAAGTAAGGCTCATTTAACTAATTATGAATATATATGAACAAGTGCAAGTTCTTACCAGCCCTAGCAAAAAGCTCCGAATCATATGTCTCCTTAAGAATAAACATCATGTGTAAAAGAACAAGTATTATTTTTTTTGGTTGACTTAAAATATTCTTTTAGCCCAATAGATCCAAACAGGGATTTCTGCCTCTAGAGAATTTATGCTAAATATTTTTTCAGGGCCCAGAACTCAGGTAAAGATCAATGGACAAATATGTCCACAAATCTTGGCATTTCTTCCCTGTGATGTTGTCTGAAACTGTTTAAACATTCTCTTGGGATATAGTTATTGGCATTTCATACTTGGTAATGCATTCCTCAATGTGAGGGCTACCCATATTTTCTGACTGTCGTGTGATATTTACAGACTAAAATGTCACATGTGACAGAAGAACTGTAACCTATTTTGAATTTTCCACATGCCAGGTTATTGTATTTTAATGACCTGATTTGCTTGAAAATTACATACAATTCCTGCCAATAATAAACCAGGAGCCACTCTAGTGATTCTGTTAACCTTGGGACTATTAATTAGTAGAGGCAGGGACATTATACCTTGAGTCTGGGGAAGAAACAAAAGTATCATGAAAAGATTCATTAGGCTAATATTAAAGGTCCTTATTTACTTAAATTCTTAAGAAACTTTCTTATAATCATTCAGAAAATAGATTTACAATGTAATAAATGGTAATCTATAGGATTTGAGATATTAAAAAGATACAAGGTCAAAAAAATTCTGTGACTTGTTGGAGAGGAGATCACTTAAGGTGAGGAATATTCATTTATTATGAATTTTTAAAATTAGGTATAACTAAAGTTCACGTGGAATAATCACTTCTTTAAGATTATTCATCATTTTTTTTAATTGTCCATTTAAATAACTTTAGGTTATCTAATTTACTTTCCAAGCATGTCTGAATACGGAGCAAAACCAATTTTGGTCAAAAGCAAAGTATCAGACTGGCTTACTATTCAGTTTTATATGAGTTTCATGAGCAGTGATTCTATTTATTCAGGTCTCAGTTCCCTCTAAATTGAGCTAACAATGGAGTTTTTGGCATCTGTAGAAGGACATAATGCCACAGCTAAGATAAATATAACCCTGTACAATAATTGTTAAGGAAATATTTAAAAAATGCACATAGTTCATTGTCCAG